TTTTACAATAACTGTCTAATTTCTTGCGCGCTGATTGGCTCATTTTTATCATCAATAAGAGTACAGGCGGACAAAATTTTAATTTATGCAAGCTTTCAAGTTCAACTCTCAGCTGTCAAACTGTCAACTTTTAAACCAATGGGATTTTATGGACTTTTCAAAGTAGCCAATAAAAAAGCGAGAAATTAAAAGCTATCGACAATGTTCGCGTCATTTTGAAAAAAATTTACTTATCTTTGTTTTACGGCGTCTTTTCCCCTCATTTATTCCCGGCATTTGACCATTTTGGGGTCTTATTGCAAAAAACAAATTGACGTCAGTTTTTTATGCGTCTGTCCTCTTAATGATGATGAATTTCGTCATAATTGTCAAAGTCTACTGCATGCGGAACCACTCGCCGGCGGCTTGTGGTTCCACAGCCACTTTGACAATGTTATGACGCAATTTATCATCAATAAGAGGAAAAACTGACGTCAATTTGTTAAATTGAGCTAACACAGCGTAAAGAATTTGTTTATGATGATAGTCGTCCTACTATAGTAGGGTAGTTTAGGTTTTAGGAGAAATTGAAAGCGGTCTGCGGTTTCGAAAAAACAAATAGACCCTCTCCTAAGCACCAATTAGAATTTAATATATATCATTATTATATGGCTTGTGTTTGTAGCCGATATAACGCGCACTCTGATTGCCCAATTGTAGGGCATTAGTCTCCCATAACGCCCACGGGCCGATTACGGCCCGCAAAACCAAAGCAAAAAGCCATATAATAAACAACTTATTAACCTCGAACGTTCGGTCTTTAGGGGAAAATCTCAAACCTCGGCCTTGCCGTATTGACCGAGCGATAGCGAGGTCAATACGGCAAGGTCTCGGTTTGAGATTTTCCCGTAAAGAGCTCACTCTCGGTTGATAAGTAGTAAAAAATTTGCTTGTTGCATGGTCGGGAATTGTGAGTGCGTTGTTGACATGTTAAGGTTATGGCTTTTTTTCTGGTAGACTTGTTGTTGACGTTGACGGATTCAGTTCTGTGAAGTTCATTTTACTCTTGAAATGTTTCAAGTAATATATCAAGCACGAAAGACCGTGTTTGACCACATTTCCAAACACCGAGAAAAGAGTTACGTTTAGGATGTNGCAATCACAGTATAAGAATTTCCTCATCAACAACTAGCTCTATTTGCATGAACATATATACATACATTATTGCAAAAGCTTTTGTAAACTAAAACTTACACAGCAATGCACATATAATAAGGTTATGACATAGCAATCAAGTTACATCAGTTTGATTTGAAAGAATAATATTTCGTAGATCAAAGCAAGATGAAATGAATTTGACTAATTGAATATAAACATAATGATTTATAGAAGTCATGAGTTCGCCGATGACGTGCGATGGAGATAATTGTTTAAAAGTCGGAATGATAATCTCTATTTTTCCATAAAATTCATCTCTTAGAATAGAGTATTTTATGCAATACACAAGAAAGTGAGATTCATCTTCCATTCGTTTAGATTCGCAAATAGGGCGGAGTCTGGAAACGCTTGGAATTTGATCATATCTACCAGTTTCAATCCTTAGTTACAATGTTTTGCCGTTACTATACTGAACACAAAAACGAAACTGCATTTCAGAAAAAAAAACTAACGAAATCCCTGTTCAGTTATCATAGAAGGTCAGCTTTCAGTACAATGTAACTTTTCGCGAGACTTGGAATAGAGTTGTAACGTTTTGTTCTGCTCTGAGATTGGACTTCAAGTGATCCCAGTGCCAGAGCTGATTCCACCGCAAAAAAGTTACAAATGGCGTGGACTCCACAAAAAGTTTATGGGAGGATATGTACCTTTTTCATTATCCTAGGTGAAGAAATGACAAGCACCTCAGACATGAAAGCAGCAATAAAAAACGTTACACATAATACGCAAAATACCAAATTGACCTGTTTTTCGTTTAGGAAACACACCGCAAAAATAAACAGGAATCTTCGAAGATGCCTCTGCCATTTAATTAACCGCTTAGAACTTTTCCCTGCACACTTCTTATACCTGCGTCCTTGATAGAAACTGCACACCGTCAGATTTCTCCTAACCACAGTATTCTTTAGATAGATTTATCTGGGGATCGTTCGCGGGCCTGCACAGGTCCCGTTTGCATTAGTAGTTCTAAACGTGAAAAGAGTTTGTTAATAATTTGTTTGTGTACAATATGCTATGAGCAGCCTCTCGTGGGGCAAAATATTAGATAAAAATAGAATAAAATAAAAACGCGACACAATGATGCGCTNTGGTTCCTTTATTATACAGACAGAGCTACCTCGCCGCTGAACATCGGCGAGATTTTGGTTCCTTATTATAGACAGAATGACCTCGCCGCTGATCATCGGCGAGATTTTCGTTCGGTATATAAGAGAAATTAAATTATCACATATTCCAACATTTACATAAAATAGTTTCAATATATATATTTAAACATTCACATAATATGTGAATATATGTAAACCCATGACTGTTTCAGAAATACTGCGGACAATGAATGAGACATGACGAGAACGAACTATTTGATATGTTGCCAGAGTTTTCCAATGTGGTGAGAATATTCTTGTAGTGATACCTGTGAATCGTTTTCTGCGCAGCGCGAATTATTCAGTGCGTTGCGGAGAATGAAAAGCTACCTCCGCAACAACATATGGGGCAACAGTGTGTCAGTAACATCGCACTGATTAACATTGAAAGGAATATGCCAAGTCTGTACTAAACAATGACGTGGATCGTATTATTGTTTTTTTTTTTTTCGACCATGGCAATGGCAGAGACAGTTATTTCTTTTAACGTGATTGATATGATAGATTCACATACAAGAATAATTTCACTGTGGATTAAAATGTAAGATTATTTTCACTGCATATGCAGGCCGATGTTAGTGAATCCTCGTTTATGTCCGATTGTTTGGTAGAAATTTGGGCAACTTGGGAAATGTTTTTGGGAAAGTGATTCACCGTCCCCCCTAGCCTGGAAAAAATTGCCCGTACGCCATTATATTCAAGGATTCCTCTCAATTGGGTTCAGAAATTGATCGTAAAAAAATTGTGTTCGATCAGTCAATCTTTGTATTTAGTTCGATTAATATTGGGTTTGATTCCATACTCCCTGGGAATTTTGTGTCCAAAGATGAGGCAGATTTTAAGGTGTGTATTTGTTTAAGAGGGAAATACACTGTTAATATATACGGTTTATTCTACTTTTATTGTATTAGCCGTGCTGCGAAAATGTTTATTTTACTCGATGTAAATTCTGAGTTTGAGCGTAGTTGTCCAACAAGATCCGTGGAATGAAGATAACAACAACAAACTGCTAGCTTTATTTCTATGACCATAAATACATACAGTGTTGCAAAAGCTTTTACAAATTAGAACTAAAACAGTAATGATTATTGTGAACAAATAGTACATGATATAGCAACCATTCAAATTACATCGGTTGGTTTTGAAATATGAATATTTTGTAGAGCAAAGCAAGATGAAATGAATTTTACTAACTGAATAATTAACTTAATGATTTGTAGAGGTCATAAGTTCGCTGCTGGCTTGTAGCGGACGTAATTGCTTAAAATTCGGGACGATATTTTCCATTTTTCAGTATAAAATTCAAATCTTAGAATAGAGTAATTGCAATACACAGGAAAGTGAGACGCATCTTCAATTTGACCAAATTCACGAATAGGGCAGAGTCTGTTAACCTGTGGAATTTGATCATATCTACCAGTTTCAATCCTTAGTTTGTAATTTCCTATCGTAAATTTCACTAGCTTTTTTCCTTTCTGTCGAAGATACGAGAAGTATTTCTACTCCCCCCTGGATGGGATGGTAGACCAAGAGTGGGTTACGTCGAGCTCCAACATTTAATTTGCTGGTACTCATTTATACACTCGGAGGAAGAGGATATTTTTAGAGCACCCCAGCCAGGGTTGTAACTTGGACAGGTCGATCCAGCACACTAACCGTTAACCAAACGCGCTTCCCTAATGAAAAAGGTAAAAAAGGGTAAAGTTCGCATACGAGCCAAGTGGCCCATCCGCTGGAGCTTATCCTGGTTTCTGTAGCGTGAAGCGACAAGGAATATTTCCCCTCCCCCCTGGTGGGATGCAGGGTTTCTCCCAGCATTAAATTTGCTGGTGGGTGGAGAGAGGCACTGTGAGAGTTAAGTGTCTTGCCTTAGAACACAGCACAGTGTCCCCGGCCAGTGCTCGAGCCCGGACCGCTCGATACGGAGTCCAGTGCACTAACCATGAGATCACCGCGCCTCCACAAATTAAAAGAGCGCCTCAAAATTAGTGAAATATCCAGGTTTGTGGGACGTAGCCGATAAAAGCGTAATTAAAGTTTTCCCTTCGCAGAGTCAGAAATTTTCAGACGCCGGTATGTGGTATGTTGGGTAGTAAGTTTGTGCTCTCCCAAGCATACAAACGCGTATCAAATAACCGATTTGTCAAAAGAATGTAGTTCTTCTGCAAGATGTCACTACTAACTTGGCCGTTTTGCCCATTTTAGTTAGTCATTTCTCTTCACGCCATGAGGCGCATAAGGCTGTAACTGTCTCTTGCCAACTAGCCCTGTCTTGCGCTGCGTCCCTGACCTCCGCCCAGCTGGACCATCTCTTTTGCCTGGATTCTTTTTCCACCGTCCTTCTCCATGTGGTTTTAGGTCGTCCCACTTTTCTCTTCCCTTCAGGTTGCCACTCCATCGCGACCATGCAGTCACGATTTAAGGCGCTTTTTTTCCCGCCAGAGCTATAGATTTTCCCTACTTAGCCAAATATAAAATGTCAATCAAAACCGCCACACGGTCTATTGGCTACGAACTTCTCCCCAAGACGGACAGTGCTGCAGTTTGAAACGTTGGTGGTAGGGTAAAGTCATGACCAAGTAAAAATCACACCAGTAAAAGTGATGTCTCTGGTTTCTCTTTGCGTGTTTAACCGACCTGTTTCTGTTCTCTTTTTAGGTTCTTCAGGTTCAACAAACACCTCATGGGAACACCATATTCGAGCAGACCTCCTCGATAATTATGACAGAAAGGTCCGACCAGTTCTCAAAGGCAAAAAAGTTGCGGAGGTGTCGTTTGCGTTGAGAGTCAGTAGGCTTGTCAAAGTGGTACGAAAGTCTTTTTGCTTTTTTGGCTGTTTCTTCCTATCTCAAAGATGATTTACAGTCCGTATTGCGCATTCTCGAGATTTTATAAGAGGTATAATAATTGGGAGTTTAAGGTGGCTGGTACCAGTTTTCTCGCGCGGGGACTAGATCACCATCGTACGTTACGCGTAAGTAACACACACGATAGAGGCGCGAGATTTTTAAAACCCGAAAAACCAAACAAATATGGCGGCGCTCGGCTTTTTTCGTGCAAGGTCACTTTTGTAGTGTTGGAGACGAAATTCGCATATAAAGGAGGCTTTACCTGCTAGCACAACTTAAGNGGATGTCCCGTTACGGCTGGTTTTATCTCGTTAACGTGGTGTAGGTAAATTCTGCGTCGTTCTAATTACTCCCACACCTCCCAAGCTTATCCCGTGGTTCCTTAAGAATTGAGCGACTAGCTTTTCTAATTTACCCCAGATGGGCTGCCGACGCATCCCAAGGTTACCTCCAGGCTTAAATTCGTCGGTATCCATCTATACACCTGGGAAGAGAGAGACACTGTGAAAAGTAATGGTTTGTCTAAAAGCCCAGTGCAGAGACTCCAACCCGGACTCGAAACCGGATCTGTCGTTTGGGAGTCTAGCGCCCAAACCATTTGGCCATTGAGTCTATCTTTTACCGGGGTATACATCGAAGTAAAGTCGTGATAGATTTACATAATTTATTGATCTTTTCATTTCCTTACAGGACAATCAAGAACAAGTTATAGTACTGGACACTTGGGTTATACAGGTCAGCTCATATCCACATGTTTTCTCATATAAAGACTCTTTAATTTAACTTTTTAATTTTTTTTCATCGTAGGATTTGTGTTTTTGTTTTTTTTTTTATATGTATATTTGCAACAGTTCTTTTTCACACTCACGTGCAATTCAAAACACTAAACTTCACTCACGTGCAATTTTCAAGCACTAACTTTCACTGTATGACTTGCCAATTAAAGCGTGTTAAAAAAAAACTGTTCGGATGTACAACAGACTGCGAAAGTTACAAATCTCAAACATGTCCGATACCCTGGGGAAATGTCACGGGATACAACACAAACCGGATGTAACTAAGACCGAAAACGAAACCGAAACGGTTTCACAACTCAAAAGGAACATTAGAAAGCCTAGTAGTTACCTTTATCATACATCTACCTTCCTAATTAACTTGTCCACCCTCGAAGACCATAGTATAAGAATTGTATATAGAAATATCAATAAGTAGACTGAGAATAGAAATTGACCTACAATTGGTATGTGAAATTTATGAAATTTGGAACCTGGAATTTGGAATATAGAAATTTGAATTTAGGATTTGGAATTTTGAGCTTGTCAGGGTCATGTTTGGCTGTTATCTTTTCACTCACAGGATTGGACAAACGAATTCTTGACCTGGAACCCTAGTAACTATGGTGACGTACAGCGTGTCCATTTCGCTCCGGAGGAGATATGGGTCCCGGATATAGCCCTCTTTAACAAGTGAGAATATGCCACTGAAGGTGGAGACGTTTTAAGGTTATGCTCACACCAGACCATTTCCGAATGGTTCCTGCCCGAAACTGGTCCGGATCAGGTCAATAACTCGAGACCGATTACTCGAACAGGGATGGCACAGTGGTGAGAGCGCTCGCCTCCCACCAATGTGGTCCCGGTTCGATACCGACCTGGTGCCAAATGTGGGTTGAGTTTGTTGTTGGTTCTCGCCTTGCTCCGAGAGTTTTTCTCCGGGTTCTCCGCTTTTTTTCCTCTTCAAAAACTGACATTCCAAATTCAAATTCGATCAGGATAGAGGACCCGCATGAAAGCCAGCTAAGGCTGATGTGACATCCTGTGTGAATATTGTAATTTATTTACCAGTTTATAACTGTTCCGGAAGTGGTCTGCTATCGAATCTACGACAGAAACTATCTTTTATTTAAGCTATCATGAATATAAACTTCTCTTGAAGGAAATCATGATCACATGCTTTCTCTCTTTGCGCAGTAGTCGCACTAGTTTGACAGCAAACGAAATCTTGCACAAGGGCCAAAAACTCTAAAAATGCATCTTGCTTTTAAACGATACACGAGCTTAAATTAATTCGATGTAAATAAATTTAGCATACATTCTTGATAATTTTTCAGTGGCGACGATGAAATCAACTTAGCAGGAGGACTAAGCAAGTTTGTGACCGACGTCGCAGTGGATAGTAAAGGGAAGTGTGTTTGGAGCGGACCAGCCACATTTAAAGTAAATTGCAAAATGGAAATCCGGGAGTGGCCGTTTGACAATCAAACATGTGAACTCGCATTTGGTTCGTACACTTATGGAGAGAACCTACTGAAAATCAAATTGTTCAGGGATAAAAAAGGCGGCGACTTTGCAAGTAAGGAATTAATCGTTATATTGCACCGAAGCAATAGAGAAACGTGGTTAATTGTTGAATGTACCTTTTTACTTTCTTCTATTTTGCGATTTTAAATCTAAGCTCGTTTCCAATTGCCTTTTTACTGTTTCGTGTCCCTTTAATCTTGTTAGGTTGCGAAGGTCTGTTTTGCGGTCTCTCTCTCTCTCTCTGTCTAGATCGTTACTTTCACTGAATTTACTCAGTCTTTCTTACAATCTTGACTTATGATACAATTTCACAGACCAAGCCCAAACATACCACATCCAATATCGCTTAGGGCCTCTTCATTGTATCAATATTACAGAGACAACACTTCATATACATTCTGTAATCGGTTGTGTTGAACTTACCATGATCTTGTTGTCAATAAGTACTGTATATTTAAAGACCAAACCAAAGTTTTTTTCTGCTAATCAGCGACTAAATTGCCAATAGTTACTACCCCAAAATATAAGAACCTATTTTGCCAGACTTTAAAAAAATGTTGGCTCTTACGTTCAGGTTTTTACTGTATGCTAAGTAATCGAACTGTATTGTAAATACTCATATGGGAGGAGTCAAATGATGCCTCTTAAGGTTTTGGCTTCCTCTAGGTTACGACCGCACAGGTGGTGGCGAAGGATGAATATTCTTGGCAGCCACAGACTAACTATGCAAATTTTTCTTTCAGCTCGTTTTGTTCGAAGCGGAGACTGGGACATAGTAAACATCACTTCCAAAATTTCGGAAACTGACCATGGTGACTGCTGCCCGTTTAACTTCAGCGAGGTGGTATACACTCTGGAAATGAAACGCAAGTCACTGTACTATATGTTCTATCTGGCCATTCCCTCCGTTACACTGACAGTAGTCGCTCTCAGTAGTTTCCTCATCCACGTTGACAGCGGGGAACGCATTGGCTTTGTCACAACTATTCTGCTCGCCATGACAGTGTTTCTTCTTGTCATCCCGTCCTTTCTTCCAGTGACGTCAGACAGCGTACCAATCCTTGGCGTAAACCTACAAGTTACTATGATCATTATAGCCTTGGTTCTCTTTGCCAATATTTTCGTCGTGAGGGTTTACTTCAAAGACGGAACTCCCCCAGACTGGATTGAAAAGCTCTGTGACTTCTTAAGCTCAAAGAAACGCAAAAGCGTCAAACGGATTCATGCATCGCAACCTAATGGCGCTCAAGGCATGGTAAAATCCACTGCGACAATGGCTGGCATCGAGATGACAGAGTCCAATAGAGAAAGTCCAGCTTTGTTTGAAAGAGAAGAAGAACATCCTCAAGATCATGAATTCACGTGGCGAAGGGTGGCCAGAAAAATAGATCAAGTCTTTTTTGTGCTCTTCGTTATTGCCTCGTGTATTGCGTATGCCGTCACCTACACATGACAGAACATTTGATTGCCGTTTTCCTAACAGTTACCCGTTTCACATAATTCGAATTTGCCTTAACACGTCAAGATCTGATTATAGCGTTCAGATTTGTTTTTGTTTTTGTCTTTGCCTTTGTGTAGGTCGACCGCACAGGGAAAAAAATACCATAACCGATAAGTTATGATTTTCCTTACTTTTCACAGATCATAAACTGTTTTGACTGGGAGTGCGAAGGAAAAGTTCACGGCGGTGAAGACACGCCGTAACCATTTGAATGAGATTTCAATCACTGCATGACAATTTAATGTATCATTTTTTCGCGTTAAGACACCAGNTCGACGTGGGATTTTTGCGCTGGTCTGAAATCTTTGTGTAAGTGTTTTCATCTTGTAGTAGGCCATATATCTTTCATTGATAGTCGCTGCTATCCATCACCACTACTGTGCGGCCTTTATCTGCGGGAAGGATGGTGACTGATGGATCTTTCGATAATGCTTTCAATGTTTCAAGCTGGTGTTTCTTTATGTTAGATTGACATGAAGGTTTGATTCCCTTTAAGATTGAAACTGCGCAGATAAGATTAGCTGATGCAGGTGGTAGATGTTTTATCCCAGATTCGACAGATGATAGGATCTCTGCGATGGGCAACTTCGTTGGTGTAATCGCGAAGTTGAAACCATAACTCAGTGCTGTTTTGTCTAAATCGCTCAGGGGCTTGTTAGATATATTCACCACCCATCTCTCTGTTGGGTCATTCCCACGGTTAACCGAGCGGTTATCTGAGCGGTTATCGGGGAGGTTGTAGAGAAGTCTCTGAAGTTCGTCTTGATGGATCGAAACCATGTGTTCAGATTCAACCGTTGCTTTGTGACAAGAACTCTCTTTTGGCACAACACTGTATGAAAAACAACCACGTATTTGATTTTAATAATGTCAAGGTCATAGACCGCTGTCCCTTGTGGTCGCGTAGATTGTTCTTGGAAGCGTGGCATTCCATTCGTGAACCGAACTCAAT